GAACTTCTAAAGGGAAGTCACCTGGTTAGAGAAAGGACTTCCAAATGAGGTCATGAACCCTGTTCTTCTTATGTGCATGAGGCATCCTAATTAGAAAGGAAGACTGGATCTCTAACATATCTGGTCACCTCTCCAGGATCTGTCAACTAAGCCAAGAGTAGAAGCCAGAAGTTACCAGTGTCATAGGCACAAGGTTCCCAGAGAAATTCGACACAGAAGGTAGCTCCGGGCAAGTCCCTGATGCCTCGGGCACCATCACTTGGCAATGCCAGGCATTCCTTAGGCACACGCTACTCTCTGTGTTGCATAGCTGGAGGTCTAAATTGGGAAATCTAATCAGCTGTGCTTTGGAGGCTTTTCTTCTTTCTTCCCATGAACCACGTGTGTATTAGACTTGATCAGGCTCACTGGGCCGATTCTGTTAGCCAAAACATCGGCTAAAAAACGCTCAAGAAGGAGAATGACATAGCCCTGCTGTGGAAAGGGACACTTGTCGGTGTTGCTGAAGTTCAAACAGTTTCGTGCTACCAAAAATAAAGCCGTTCCCATAGCACCCGCAGTACTTCCTCTTTCCTGCGGCGCCCCTCACTTACTGGGCTCCAGACCTCAGGCCCCAAGCAAATCGAGAGATTGCTGGGCCTTCCTCTGTGTCTGCACCCTGGCTCAGAGCCTGCTGCTGAGTTAGCCCAGCCATTCACTGGTAATAGCTGCCATTTGTATTTAGGAGTACTCTCAATGAAGAGTGAGGGGAGGGGAGGGGTCAAGCTGCCCTCTAAGGAACCACTCCTTTCTCTTTTTCTATGTCAACAAATTTTTATTTAAAGGATTTTGCATGTCATTCTTTCGCTGCCTATTGAGGTCACTTAGCTCCTTCCAGGCAGAAGTCAACATTTCAAGACAGTGCTTTTCTAAAAGAACTAAATTTTAATCCAGGCACGCTGTCAGCCCACGTTTCTTTTATCTGGGCTTCTTTTATCTCCACTTGAGTAAAGAACATATTCATGACTTCAAAGTTCTCCATCTGAGATATTACACATCTAAGAAAGACCCCCAACGACAGCGCAATGGGATGACAGTATTGATAACAAGGCTCCTACTTTGAACATGAAGCCTGGAATTGAAGACACGTGACTTTCTATAAATGGATGATGTTTGTTTTGTGTTTTTTTAACATTGTAGATTGGCACATCCTACAGACTTGAATGTGATATAAGAATGAGTGTGGCCTAGATTCCTTCATGTTAAGACAAGTGGAGAGTCAGAAATTGAGGGCCAGATCATCTGTCCTAAAGTGGACCATACAGCGTAAACTGCTTCAGGAGCCCTTGTTATCTGCTGACATGAAGAAATGCAACCGTCTCCTACTAGTGACGTTCCCATAGTGTCCCTGCCTCCATGGAACAGATTTGTGCTTCATTATTACTCTGGGTGAGGTCACAAGAATGCTCTTGAGGGTGTAGGGATGCTCTGAGCAGTGAACAGCATCATCAGAGAGAGCAGGAACTAGGAAAAGCCCATCCCTTCAAGAATGGGGATTCTGGAGATCTCGGCAGGGCCGGTGAATGGAGATGTCTCCTGGAGAGTTTGGACTGGGTCCTGGGATACCTAGTTTCTGGTGTGTGCTCTTAATTCGGTTGCTCTGCTGGACACAGTTTCCCTGTCACTTGAACCACACAATCCCTACAGGATTTCATTCTGTCTGTTTGGACCTGCAATGTCGGGTCTCTAACTGTTGCTGTCTGAGGATGGTCTATGCTAGGACCTGCGGAGGCTACAAAGTCACCCAGCATAGATCCCAGTCCAAAGGAGAAAATGACCTTGTATTCATGGTCCCCATCCTCTGCACACTAGCTCCCTTCCTAGGGATAAAAGTCAAGGAAGCACCTTGCTAAACCTGCCTCCTTCTTCTTTACCATTTCAGTTCTGCCCCAGGTTGTGGAGTTGAACACCTCCAAGGTGAAGCTAAAGAAAGCACCCCAGGGAGCCCCCTCATGCCGTGCTCAGTCCTTTGGCTCTCCCCTGCTCCCCACCGAGGACAAGAAATGCAACACTGTTTGAAACAATCACACTTCACACAGTGCCTGCAATATTATTCGAGGTAGAAGTTTCTAGGCATCTTGAGATCAAACTCTTAGGAAGTTCAGAAATGACAGGACAGGAAAGGGACAAGAGGCCTGAGGGAAGGGATAATAGCCAGGGGCTTTTCAACTGAGCATGGATGAATAGATGCTGCTGTTTGGATGTAGGCAAAGGCTCTTTGGTTGGAGGTATCCAGGTTGACAAGAGAAATAAAATGATGGAAGAGTCGAGCACGGCTTCAGAATGCAGCATTATCCATCTTTCATCCGATAGGTCTGGGACACAGTGTGCAAGGCAGAAATGGTCCCTGCTCTGTGAGCGCCCAGATTAGTGACAGAGAGACAGGAAACAAGTGAAGTGGCAAAGAACAATCGGTGCTTTGGAAGACGAGGGATGAAAAGGATCACTAGAACAAGGATGTCCTAAAGATGCTGGTGGTCAGTGAAGACCTAGGGAGAGGCCGGGAAGGTTTAAAGAGCTGGACAGAGGCTGGTGATAGCTGGCGATCTGTCAAGGACGGACCAGCATCTTGTCAGCAGTGGCGTTTTGATTATTTTTCTCGTTGCTGTGATCAAATACCCCAGCCCATGGATGGAAGGTGCTAGCCACAGTTAACGCTGGCCTTTCCACTTCAGTTAACTTATCTAGAGAATCCTTCACAGGCTTGTCCAACGGCCTACTCCCTAGGTTAGACTGATGATGAAGATAGCAGGTTTGATACTGTATTCCAAATGGGGAACTGAAGCAGAATTTGAAGCCAGAGTGGTTACCTTGTTTATAGTTTTAAAGGCTATGGTTTCTGCAGTGTAGATATAGGTTGTTGTCTATCACTGCCTAACAGATCATCAACATACAGCTATGTACAAGAACACACAGCACTGGCCCACATTCCACTCATCAATAATCCAGCCTCAGCCTCACTGTGTCCTCTGAAGAATGGGAGCCATGAAGAATGCCTCCCTATAGCCCACGTCTTACCAGATATCCAAACCTAGTTTGCCTTTGCATCTGAAGTTGATTAAGCTAGGTCGTTTTGGACAAGTTATGCTAACTCTCTTTAACCTTAGTTTGCCCATCTGTAAAGTAGGAATCAAAATACTGAAAGATTATAGCCAGGTGTAAACAACCCCAGGGCCAGGAGATAGGATCATCATAAACTGTATGTTTAGTATTGCACGGATTGATGTGTTAGGAACTTCTGCACTGAGCAGAACACCGTAAAGAAACATACAGAGAACTTGCCCTCTGTACTAGCATGTTGTGCCATGTAGCTGACCTTTTCCTCCTGGGAAGGAATGTCCACATAGGAGGGTGGGGTGCTGATGGGAAATATGTTGAGAGAAGGGTAACTGGACAAGGCAGCCGGAAAGGACAGACTGTCAAACCCCTTGGGGCCCGTGGCAGAGAGATGAGACCGGGGCTCACCCTTGGATGATCTCTGTAGTTGCTGTATCCTTAGGTAGGGTATGATTTGGCTGCTTGTATTCCAGGCCTGAGGATGTTCCAGTTTCTCGATGCTACATTCCTGGTCCTTGTTGATCAAGGTTTATACTTCTTATTCTAATGTCCTCACAAAGTGACTGGATCTCAATTTGGAAGGTGATGAAAGCACTTGTGGAAGAATTTAATTTTATTAATTATAATAGCACAATTTATGAATAAGGTAGTTTGACCAATGAGAAAACTGAGTCCTGGTGGGGATTGCGTACTGAAGGATAGAGGTAGAGTCCACCCTTTCTCTCTGCGTCCTTGTAGACTCCTCTCTCATACCCTTCACTCACACACACATTTCTTTTTAAAATTGGAGATAGGGTCTCGTATCATAGCCTAGTAACCCACGCTGGCCTGAGATTTGCTATATCTAGCCCCAGCTGGCATCCAACTTGCAGTAGTCTTCCTGCCTCAGCCTTGGGTTGCCAGCATCCTCAGCTTCAAAAGATCCTTTTCATGGAACGATTTTGTCTGACAGACCCGCCAACACTTGGAAAGCTTTATGCATAATTCAAATCTACACAGGGGGCTTTAAAAGACAAACAAAAACCTTGTTTCTCCCCGTCATTGTGAGATCTCTGCCCAAACAAACCCTTGAGTGTAAGCAGAGGTCTTCCCCAGATGGGAAGTTTAACTCCTGCCTTGAACCTCGAACTCACTCCCCAGCACTGCGCGAAGCCCTCCCCCACCTCATCGTTTGTAATGCACTGCCTCGTTTGAGATCCCCAAAGAGCTGGCTGCACAGGTACTCTTGTCTCAGCTGAGATCTCCTCTAACGCTCCGAGTCCACGGGTCTCGCTCAACTCCCCTGAGGCGGAGTCCTCCGAAGCCGCGCCACAAGCTAGTGCCCCAGAGCCTGGCGTGCGGACGATCAGCAGGAGGCAAGCACCCAAGCGCAGCCAGAAGGAGTCGGGCTGAAGGGACCATCAAGCAGCTGTCTCCACCCGGCCCTCCTTCTCTTCCCTCCCCGCGCGGGTGACGCGCCAGCCCCCGCGTGCGCGCCTCCCCGCCGCCC